TTATTGTGCTGATATCTTAAGGACTACCATGGACCGCTGACTCCTAAAGATTTTGATATTCTTCATATTCTGTGTGGTCAGTTCACAGCAGTGATAGAAATTAATCTTTTCCAATAAGTTTAAATAGATTTTTACCTTTTATGGGCATTTTTACCTTTATAAAGCCATTTTTTTCTGAAAGTGTACATCATCTTTTGAGTTAAATTCTTACATTTAATCTGTTAATTATAATAATAATACATTTAGGCTGTTACTAAACAAATGAAATCAGTATCAATAAAATTAATCTTTGCAGAAGTTGCATATGAAGTGGCATTTAGATGTATTTACACATGTTAATGCAACTTAGAGGGACATGGAATGCTTTAATCTGCACTTACAAATGCATAAATAAAGTTTTTATATTTTAAACATGAAATGTTGAATACTGATATTTGAAACTATTTAAAAAAAATAAAAGATACTTTAAAGGGGTCATATGATGCTATTTTAAAGATAATTATTTTGTGTATTTGGTGTGACAGAATATGTTGGCATGCTTTAATGTTCCAAAAACACATTATTTTTCAAATACTGTACATTATTGTAGTTCCTCTATGCCCCGCCTCTCTAAAACGCGTCGTTTTCTACAGAGCCCCTCCTTCTGACAAGCGCAGTCTGCTCAGATTGGCCAACTGACCCAGTGCATTGTGATTGGCCGAACACCACAAGCACGCATTGGAAATGTAACGCCCCTTTCCATAATCGCGAGCTTCAGCTTTCAACATAAATGTAAAGACAGTACATAATGTCCTTAGTTTTACCATCAGTTCAAGCCCGAAAGGGGAACAGAGTCGCGTGACAGACACAGTGATGATGCTCGTATTTATTTGCAGTACACAAGCCTCGATTAAGAAAGCTGACTCCACTGTGATGTGACCCTCTCTCTCACACACACACACGAAGCGATACTCTACACGGCGCAAAACTCCACATTTGAACAGTCAATAGCAAATACTTAAACTATTAAGAAAACATACTTACAGTAGCTGATTCAGAATAAGCGTCAGATTGTCATAGCAAAGTCGGAATTTACCCATTTTTTTGTTAGAAATAGCCTTTGCACGGCCAGCCTTGTAGTCTACTCTTCTAGGTTCACAAAACTGTCGTCCATAAAATGCGTTGCACAAATTCGAACATCTGGGTTGTGCTGTTCTGTTGTATATAAATCTTAACTAATGATTCCTCATTGCATCTACTTTCGGAAGGCCAAATAAAGTGCTTTTGCTTTCGCACAGAAACACACAGCGTCTCCCTGACATGTCTACATCAACACTACTGTGGTTCCTGAAACCACGCCTTCTTTCTTTGCATGAACATTTGGGCGGCATTATGCAAATATTTCCACATCGTGACGTAGAGATCTGGGGGCATGTTTGAATGAGACGTTTTTGCCCAGTCTGGATCAGCCTTCTCTTTTAGATAGAATAAATCCTTTTGTGGGAGACTTTGAGCTTTGTAACTCTGCAGATCTTATACATGCACAGATAGCTACATAACACACTAAAGAAAAGGAAAAATAGAAATCGCATCATATGACCCCTTTAAATGTGAAATTAAAACTGCCAGTAGGTGGCAGCAAGTCACTGTTAAGTGAGTCATTGCAATTGAACCGAATCATTTAAACGGTTGATTCATTCAGAAACGAAATAACGTCATGTTGCTCAGAGACGCAAAACAGTACTGTGACTGTTTTTGGAATGTTTTTTTGTTGGCGAAATAGCGCAAAAACAGACAATATGGTGTCTAAAACGTAAGTCTCTTGATATTAACTTATTGTTTATTGAACTGTTATATAAAATCAATATCATATTTGTAACCATGCTGATTTTTAAAGAAAAAATGGCACTCTTTGTGTGATATTGATTAACTATACGAATTGATATAAATATATACATTTTCTGCCCCCTTATCTTGAACTATGTGATAATTTTTAATGCATGTTACTAGACTGAATCATGCAGTGAAAGAACGCACTGTAAATGCCCACGCGCACTAAAGCCTGTGTTGGTCTAACCAGACTTCATCAAGTCGCATATGCGTGCCTCTGTAGGTGTGTTTTGTTTGGTTTTTGCAATATACTCAATAGTGTCATGATGTCTCACGAGTTCGGTATTTGCGCTAAACCTGTGCAGATTTGATTTGGCTTGCATGAACTTCCCCAATAAATTAATGAGTGAACATAACTTACGAAAAGTAACCCGCCAAATTGGCTAGTGATTTGACAGCGTTACCCGCCACAGCCGATTTTTACCCACATTTGGCGGGTGTTAATTTCAAATCCTGCTTACTCTATACAGAGACCAGAGCTATGTTGTTATTTTTATTTTTAACCCGAAAATGCTCACCATCTGTATCATTTATAAACGCACCTTTCTTGCTTCTTAAAAATATATAATGACATAGCTTTGGTCTCTTTGAATACAGAGACAATGGTAACTTTAGCCACATATGCCGTACAGCGTGCTAACAAGCACATTCAGAAAGGAGATTTGCAAACATTCACAAAATATAAAGTGCAGTGCCTACATGTTCTGGATATGAAGTTGAATCACGAATAGTTGAAATTGATCCATTTTTGAGAATTTTATTCGCTGTGTAACATTCTTCAGTTTGTAACTGGAATATCCAAAGCACAAGCTGTAAATGTTCTGCCCTCTTCTGGAAGGGGGGTGGGGAGCATTTAAAGAGACACACACGAAAGCAGTGTGTTTTTGCTCCCAACCAAAAAGGTAATTTTGGTCATAGTATAAGTATATAATCTGTGGGGTATTTTGAGCTGAAACGTCACAGACACATTCTGGGGACACCTGAGACTTAAACTGCATCTTGTAAAAAGGGGCATAATAGGTCCCCTTTAAAAACTACTCCTAGGGTATTCATGCGATCATCACCAGACATGATGCCAAGACATTGAGGATTTTAAATTGTAAATGGATTCTTGATACAGAATGGTTTTGCTATGCTGAGGCAAAACATTTATGTTGAAAAAAGGTGTAACAGCCCATAGTTCTGTTACTATGAATTTATAGTAGGTTGCAGTTCTACTACAGTCCTCTATGGGCTCTAAGCTGCTCTCCTCCTCTAACTTAAACACATTTTATTGCATTTATTGAACGTTGCGAAGAGTATTTTGCTGTTTGTCCTCTTAGTGATGGTGAAATCCTCGATCCACTCTCTGCTGTTCTTCAAGTTACTGCAAATGACTGGTGGATGGCAAAACAAAGGAATGTGGAAACTTTTCTGCACTCATTTCTAAGTGAGGACTATGATGATGTTGTAGCAAGAAAAGTGTTGGAGAGGAAACTAGGCGCTAAAGAAAGTATCAGAGATTTTGCATTCCACTATCGAGCATTGTGTCTGTGGTGGAGAAAGAAATGTCTGAGAAGGAAGTGGTTCAAGCAATCCTTAGAAACTGTAACCCACGACTTGCTAGTTTGCTAAGCGGAACCATCAAGGACATGGGAGAACTAGTCAGGATTGAAACCCAGATAGAAAGAGATTTTGATTAATCCAAAAGATATTGGAGTCAGGCTAATGTGGAAGAACAGAGAAAGAGAGCCTCCACAGTTCAATAACCTCAGCGCAAACCACCACATGCAAGCAATTGAGTAGTGTAATCCTTTCAAAGTTCTGTGCAACATGACTATAAAAATATCACCCTTCCCATAATTTTAATAACAGGAAAGGCATGCCATTGCCATGGTCGACACAGGTATTACTTTCTCACTGATCCAGGAGTCCTTTTGGATACAGTTGTGTCACCAAGAGCATTACCAACCCATCGAAGGGCAATGCTTTCTATCGGCCAATGGACAAAGGCAGACTGCTATTGGTAAGGTGAAATGGAGGTGTGAAGTGCAGGGACAATCAGTAGACCTGACACTCTTCATAATGCGGGATGCTGACCTGACAGTACCAATCACAATAGGAATGGATTTTCTGTTAAAGACCAGAATGGTGCTAGACTTTCACAAAACTCAGTACAGCCTGCCCACTGCAGAAGGAGCTATGAAAGTAAAAACTTTTACCTTTCTTCATGACATCCACCCCACCATGCATTTTTACCTTGCCATTTCTTCACCTAAATGCAGTGATGAAACTTGTCAATACATACAGCAACTTACACTGGCAAGCAGACACAGATGATGCATCCGTAGACTAGCGCAAGTTAATTCTCACACTTTAATAGTATTTATAGCTCCTAACAGGCTGCAGAAGTTATTACCTCAAAATGTACGTCAGGATGCAGTTTTCCCTATTGCTTGCATGCCAGGGAGTATCCCTCTGGTGCCGTAGGTTGCCGACCCCTGTACTAGACTAAGGGATCATTCGACCATCTACTTCTCCTTGGGCTTCTCTGGTGGTGCAAATTCAAAAGAAGGATGGAGGATCTAGACTTTGTATTGATTACCGTGGACTGAATGCCAAGACCCATCTGGATGCCTAACCTGTGCCTCAGATACAGGCTATCCTGGAGTCACTGCACGGTGACACTGTCTTCAGCACTCTGGACCTAAAAAGCGGTTATTGGCAACATGTCTCAGTAAAGCCGGACTCACACTTAACCTGAAGAAATGCAACTTCATCCATAGATCACTTGCATTCCTTGGTCATATAGTTTCAAACGAGGATGTAAAAACATATCCATCTAAAGTTTCTGCAGTGAAAACATTCCCCATACCTCCATCCATCAAGGACATCCAAAGATTCTTAGGATTAGCAGGCTGGTATCACCACAGCTCCTGTCTTAATAACACCTGATTTTAGCAAACCTTTCCGAGTGCAAATGAGATGCAAGTGACATTGGCGTAGGAGCTGTTCTTACACAGGAATCATCAGGAGAAGAGCATGTGATCGCCTATGCATCCTGGTTGCTCAGAGGAGCAGAGAAAGCATACACAGTCTCAGAAAAGGAGTGCTTGGCCGTAGTCTGGGCTGTAGAAAAGTGGAAAACATACCTTGAAGGCTGACCCTTCGAAGTAGTCACTGACCATGCTGCCCTGACATGGGCCTTCCAACACCCAAGGCCGTATTATCCAGAACTCAAAGTCAAAATGCTCTGCCTGATACAATCGTCACCGTCATTGTAAACGCTTCCAAGATCGCTGCATCACAAGTCAACATGCCTGTAGACTCAGACAATCAGACAGAATCAGACAATGCCGGATGCTTCACGAATTCAGTACATTGTGAAACATGATTTCTTGTTTTGCAGTGTGCCTGAGGGTCAGAAAGGACAGAAACTCCAACTGGTAATTCCATCTATGCATCGAGAAGCATTTTTGCAAAATGCCCACGACAACCCACTCAGCGGGCATCTGGGAAAATGAAAAACTCTTCTCAGACTTCTAGACACAGTATACTGGCCTAACATAAGAACTGATGTGTGGAGATACTGTAAAGAATGTCACATTTGTCAAAAGTACAAACCCTCACTGACAAAGTTGTCTGGCCATTTGCAGAGTACTCCTGTTGTCAAACCTGGTTACATGTGTAGCGTCTGGACCAATCAAACACACAATATATATTTTGTTAGCTATATTTAACAAATACTCTGTAACACCCCTCAGTTAACAAGCCATATGAGGACCTATGGACCCTTCCCCCGAAATGCGTCGTAACACCTCAGAAAGACACCAGGCCCCCTTTTCACCATGGCAACCAATGCTGATATCGTATCATTTGCACCTTTTTACAAAGGTGTGTTTGAACTAAGAATCTGATGTTTCCTTCAGGCTATAAATCTGCTGAATATCAAATGGTTCCATAACTTAATTCTTTATTTCTCTCCTCTTTACTGCTTAAGCTTTAGCCCTTTTCCTATACCAACTGTATGCGTGTATGTGTATGTTAGACTAGTTTAAGTGTTTATGTAGTATGTTACACTAGTTTAAGTGTTTATGTAGTTAATAAAGTCTTACTTGTATCACACTTGACGTTGTTCATTGTTTGCTCATAACTGGAGTCCCTTAATCATGCAGATTTATGCTACAGGCTCTGTGTAGAATTGTACAGTAAGAAAGTAATTTCCCTTAACCAGGAAATTAACATTCTTAGAATTGACAGACAGTTGACCCTGAGAGGTCGAGTAAATACTTACAGCGGATCTAAATATTTATAATTAATTATAACTAGTTATGATTAATTATTCATATTTCCCCGTGAGCTGATTCGCTACACATGATAGGTGTTGACCTCATGGGTCCTTTCCCCAAAAGTGCTAAACAGAACGAACATCATCTTGTTACTGTCGATAAGTGCTCCAAATGGGTGGAAATGTTTCCTTTGAGAAAAGACAAAGCACCTCAAATAGCCAGAATACTTGTAGAAGAGATATTCACCAGATGGGGAACCCCAACCTATCTACTGTAGTATCAGATCGAGGGACACAATTCACTTCATACCTTATCAACTTGATATGCAAACAGTGGGGACAAAAAGTTGACTACGGCCTACCATCCACAAATCTGACCGAGCGGGTAAATTGTAACCTGAAAACCATGATTGCATCCTACATAGAAGAGCTACATCGGCAGTGGGACAAAAGGTTAGCAGAAATCAGGTTCACTATTAATTTTGCTTGGCATGAGAGCACAGGGTTTACACCAGCAGAAATAGCTCTTGGGTGTAAACTCAAAGGACCTATGGAGAGAGCTCTTCAACAACCACCTGATCCCAACAGCTCTGTTTATCCCATACTTGATCAACAAAAAGACCTCATCAGCCTGGTAAAGGAGAATGTAGAACAAGCGCAAGCCAAGCAGAAACAGTACTATGACCAGCGCCACAAACAGACTCAATTGCAGGTTGGGGATATAGTTTAGGAACCGACTCACCACTTATCCACATAATGGCTTTATGGCCAAATTTTCTGCAAAGGTTGTTAAAGGGTTAAGCCCTATTAATTACTCTGTTTCTCTCATGTCTGATCCAACCAATGTTGATACCTACCTTGTACAAATTCTTAAGATTTATCATGGCTATTACAAATCTTCCACTGAGCAGGTGGGTATGTAACAGCCCATAGTTCTGTTACTATGGATTTATAATAAGTTGCAGTTCTACTACAGTCCTCTAGAGGCTCTAAGCTGCTCTCATCCTCTAACTTAACCCCCTGGGGTTGAAGCCCGCATTGGGCTGTCGCGTATTTTCTTGATGACCGCAAAAAGAACTAAAAATACTTCTTCATTTTTAGTTTGTACAGATAAGAATAAGGTATCATTTGGGTAACACTTTATAATAACTTTAATTTATAAATCATTAACAAACATTATATAATGCTTAACAGATCATTAGTTAATATATATTCACATAGCTAGAAACATTTAGTAACTTAGCACACATTTTCATTTAGTTTTACAAATGTCAGTAAACTTTCAGTTCATATGATCTTCATTTGTTGGTCTTTGTTGTATAGACCTCTATTTACACATCTTAAGAAATAATCTATTAATTATTTGTTCATGTTTTTGCAGTACCCAAACTAAAGTAGAAATTATTAGAGCAAGCTAGTGTTAGAGGTCTTTTTTGCTTTTGTTAATTGTATAATACATGAAAAGAAAACAGATACAATACAAAAAGATTAGAAAGCAAAAGTTAGTTTTTTTTTTTTAAGAAAACAAGCAGCAAATGAATAGAGTGCAAGTCTAAAGTTTTTGTGTTTTCTAAGTGTTTTTTTTTTAAGAATAGAATTAGAATAGAGAGTGCTAGAGGTAGAGATTTGTAAATGTTTATAAACGATTACTAATCATTTAGTATCTTTATGGGCATTGGACTTTTAGCTAATGTAACAAGGTTTGTGTGAAGGGTGGCTGGTTAAGTTTAGCTAAATTCTTGCTAAAGACATAACAGATCGTAATTTTAGTGCAAAAAAGTTTTTTATTGCCTCAACACTCACATTAGTATACTACTTTTCAGTATATCATTAAACAGGATATTCCTTGAATCATAAATAAACAGGAGAAAACACAATTTTTTTTAAAAGAAAATACTTTCATCAATAAATTCATTTATCAAAACAATATAATATAAACTGATTGAACAGTTGACCCTATAACCAACCCTTAAACCTACCCATACCACCAAACCTGTCCCTAACCTTACCCGTATCACACCTCAATAGCAGCAAAAGTGTTGTGCATTAACACAAGCTATTAATCATTTTATAACATCTTTTAAAATCTTTTGTAGATTTTCAATAAGTGCTTGATCATATGGAATTGAGGGCCCTATCATAAACCCGGGGCAATGCGGGCC